CGTCTTAAAAAGTACGCTACGTTATGCTAGATGTTAGTAGGTTCTTGAATCCTACGTAGCGATACGCTAAAAACGCTACGTTACGCTATTCTATGAAACGGTAAGCTACGTTACGTTACGCTACTCTGTGTAACAGCAAGCTACGTTACATTACGCTACATTACGATACCCTATGAAACAGTAAGCTACGTTACGTTACGATACCCTATTAGACGGTAAGCTACGTTACATTACGCTACTCTATGAAACGGTAAGCCACGTTACGTTACGCTACGCAACTTTACGCACAGGGAGGAATGTGCTACGGAACAGTGAGGAATTCCGTAAAATCGAACCGCAACGACCGAAACAATAGCCACCCTGAAATCCCGGACCCTCAAAACGTAGTATCCATAAATTAATTATCCCATCCCCCCGTCTCGCCCAGCCATCGAATAATCCCGGGTCATTTTTGTTGCCTCCCGAAAAAACACTCAGTAGAGAAAAGCGTCAGAAGACGTCAAAAATAGCCGCGAAAAATGGTGGAGAAGATCTCTGAATTGAAGTGAAGAGAGTCGCCACGGGTGCTATATAATTTGCGAGAGTGGGGGGTGATGACGCGTCTCCAAAAAAAAACATCGAACCGAAGCCTTTCCGGATTAAAGGGGAAGCCCGGCAAGGAGAATTGAGAAAAATGAACGATGGCCTTCATAAAAATAAATCTGGGAAATGCCATTTGGCTACGATAGACTTTGGTCCTTTCACGTCACTAGATTTTTAGCGGTTCTTTGAAGAAATTCGCCTCTAATTTTAATTTTAGAAAGTTTTTGGAAAGCTTGGAATTTTAGTCTCGAAAATATTGTAAAAGTTTGTATTATAAAAGTTGCTTAAACCGGGAAAAGCTTTTCAAAACCTCAAAAATTAAAATTTTTTTAGGGAGCTGGACAAGCGTGGCTTAGGCCTCTGGCGACGGAAAAAATACATTTAGGCATTTGCTTATACCCCTGAAACCGTAAAAACAGAATCTTCCAAAGTTTGATAGTTTTGAAAGTGTAAAAATGAGCGAAAAACTATTGAAAATTAAGCAATTCCAATTTATTTTCAAAGATTTATACTTAATTTCTTTTTTGCGCCTCTAGAAGTTTAAAAATGACCAAAAATTGCCCTTACAAATGATGTAAAGTGTAGCGTAGCGTAGTTAGGTCTAAAGGGAGTGTGACAGTAAATAGAGAAAAAACTCATATTCCTGCACTAATGGGCTGAAATAACGAAAAACACAATTAACGTAATTTCCAGCCAAATCCAGGTAACGATTTGACCAAAACGGTGACTGAAATATACCGGTCGACCCGCCTGCCTGTGCAGCAGAGAGGAGAGAGTGAGAGCGAGAGAGCGAGAAAGCGAGAGAGCGAGAGAGCGAGAGAGCGAGAGAGCGAGAGAGAGCAGGTGAAAGAGGCGGTCGAGACGCCAAAGTGGCAGGTGTGCTTTCAAAAGGAACGGAATGACGTTTCCCTCCCCCCATTCTGCCTCTTCTCTTCTCTCTTCTCCCCCCAACACAACACTGGATCGCCACTCTTCGATTTTATTTCTGGCCGTGGAAAATGGAAGGGAAAAGACGTGGTTGACATGGTTAAAGCGGCTGGGAAGTGTAGAAAATTTTTACTAGAAATTGTGAATTTTTGTGTTTTAAAGGGACTTTCAAAGCAAAAAATAGGAACTTTTGGCTATGGATTTTCAGTGGGTTCTATCAGGCTACCACAGAAGCGCGCACGCCCCGCTTGTTCACGTTGTAGCAACAAGAGCTGAATAGGGAATTTTATCGACGTTTTTACCTACTGAATTTTGTCGACCGGCGCTACGCCGCGAGACACGCCACGTGCCGCCCGCTTACCGCCTACCGCTGAAAACGACCGGAACTGAAAGGGAAAAGCTACTTCCGCGTAGCGTCTCGCCGTAAGAAAATTCAAAGATCGAAATCCCGCTTTAAAACGACGGAAACGCGCACTAAATTTGTGCCGCGCCGCGACACGCAACGCGTAGGTCCGCCTTTTCATTGCCTAATCGATTACGCGCTGTTAATGAGGTCTGACGGTCAGGGCGTGCGCGTTGCGTGTCGCGGCACACCAAACTTTTGAGGAAACTCACAGCTAAAAAAAATCGATGTTCATGCCTCGTCGGACCCTTTAAAAAGTGATAAAAATATATCTTTGCGTTTTATGGGTTGAATGACGTCATAAAAGTCATTTTTTTTTAAAAAAAACAGAAAAATACATAAAATACCGAAATGCCAATGACCGAGAAGACAAAAACGCCCCCACCTCTCCTTCCCTTGGTTGCTTTCGCAAAGTGATGACCCCTTGAACAACACAGTCCAACCTCCCCCCCTCTTCCATTGCTCTCTCGCGTCTTTTTCAAGGTCATCTACCGCCACCACGTCGAGACCTTTTCGAGCCGAGAGAGCGTGGTCTTTAAAGGGACCGGAAATCTATGCAAAACACCGCAAGAAGCAGAATCTCGGAGCTAAAGGTTCGTGGGAAAAGGACCCAGAAAAAACTACGCCCGGTTGGTTCGCCGACAAGTTTTTGTCCTTTTATTTTTATTTTTCGCTGACAAACCTGAAAACTACAGTTTCAAATCTGTCTAAAAGCGGCTTTTAAAAGTGCCAGAAAGAAATCAGAGCTGCTAGATTTCACCCGCGACGCGTGCGAAAAACGCGTAGCGTCATTGCGAAACCGGTGCCGCGCAGCGCAGGCAACGCGTCAGTTACGGCTCGCGGGTTCTCGGGTGAATTTTCATAAATTCAAGCAGCTATACTGATCAAATTCGTTTGAAAATTGCAGAAATGGTGTCAAATCTCGGAAATATAAGCGTTTTCACGTGCGTTCAAGGCTGAAAACGACGCGCGCGGTCGCGTTGCGGTCGTCCAGATTTAACGGATCATTTGAAAGCTAGAAAAATCTAAATCTAAAGTCTAATCGAAGAACTTCACGTTTAGGTTTTGAATCCTAACAATATTTTTGTTCAGCTTAACAAGCTACGCTTACTGTAAAGTTTTTTTACTCAACTTGGAGTTTCGATTCGGGACCAAGCGCATCTTGTGCAGAATTTTTCGCTGATTCCGAATATGTTTTCCAAATTTGCTACGGGCTTTTATTTAAAAATCATTTTTGGTAACAATTAGGCCTAAAAATGCCAAAAATTCAGACGCTGGCCCACTATTCCTTGTTTGGGGCTATGGTTCCCAGGGGCCGTGAAGTAGCCTCTGACACCACCCTTCCCAGTTGGCACCATGGTGCATTGGCAAAGTACTCGCTTGCCAAGCGCAGGGCGGCGGTTCGAATCCCCGCCCTGAATCATTTCTTTTGCTTTTTGCATAAAAATCTAATTTTTTTATCTAAAATGCTTGTTTTGAGCTGTAAGATGCTTGTCGAGCCAACGTCTAGTCAATTTTGACGTTGAAATTAATGAAGAAAATCGAAAACTATAACGATCCCTTCATTTTGGTGAAAACTAGGGTCATAATTGCCGTATAACTTTCAGAATAACGGTCCGTAGCAAATTTGGAAAACATATTCGGAATCAGCGAAAAATTCTGTACAAGATGCACTTGGTCCCGAATCGAAACTCCAAGTTGAGTAAAAAACACTTTACAGTTAGAAAAACAAACTTTCAGCGCTCTTCTGATTCACCTAGGCGCTAAAACGGCTAGACCGGCCTTTCAAAACGCATAGACCATGTGCCCCCCGATGCATAAGGGCATATTTTTGTATGCTGAAAGGAAGAGTAAATGGCAAGTTGTGTGTTCGATCTGCCCCGATCAACAATCCCCCAGCCATCTCCTACACACGGCCATGACGCGTAAACAGTCGACGAGATACCCTCGCCAACCTTACACTACACGGCAACAAAAAAATCTTTATAGAGGGCTCATCGTTGTAAAAATCGAATTTTTTTCTAGTAAATTACAAGGGGCTTGTAACAAAAATTTAATAATGAATAAATTATGGAGTTTTAACAGTATTCTCCTCCAATTTCTTCAAGATTTTTTGTAGAAATCGTTGTAGAAATCGTTGTAAATCCTGTTCTTAACTATAATTCAGTTCTAAAACTTTATAAATTTTGTCTAACAAAAAAAATCTAGTTCTTCGACCTAAACAAGCCAAACGCAAAGTTTGAGCACGGTTTTTCAAGTTTTTAAATGCCTTTTTCTACTTCAAATATATTTAGATTAAATACGAATAACTACAACACTACAAAGACACGCAAGGAATAATATAAAAACACTTTAAATGATAAAACAATTCAAAAAATCAACTTGAAAGATGAACTAAAATTAAATGGCGACTAAGTCTAGGTTTTTTTTGTTTTTTTGTTTTTTTTTTTGTTTGTTTTTCAGGAGTGCAATGAGTGCAATGAGCAGCCGTGGAGCAATTGGCCAGCTTCACGTCACTCTCCTTTCGCGTTGCACCTTCCAAAATGCGTGAGAGCAAATAGAGGATCTCCTCCCCGCGCAACTCTTCATCTTCACCAAAAAACCACAACCATCACATCATTCGCGGTAAATAGGGCTCAATGGGAAGTATACTATACTGAAATCGGCTAGTCCCGGTCTTTCTTATTTTTCCTGGCACTGGACCAATAACGGGGGGGGGCGAAGCCGCCCGTAGCATCGGAATCATCCAATGTTCACCGTTTATCTAAGCATTAAGATTATCAAAAACTTATCTAAGCATTAAGATCAAAAATGTCAAATTTTCAGATTTTCTAAAAATGTATGGCATAAACATTCACCGTTTTCGCCATAAAAATTTATTCACAACGAGATTCACAGATCAACGATAATAGCGCGTACCCGGCACATAAAAGACCCATGTAGCCGAAATTCCTAGCAGTAAGAAGAGCACTGGTGATACCCGAGATATTAAAAGCCGCATAAAATTAACTATGAGTATCCAACAAAAAAATAGTGATTCACAACACGTAACAAAAAATCACATAAAAACAATATAAAGTCGTTATTATTCGTCGAGCAGATCGTTGATGATGCTGTAGGGCGGGTTTTGCTCACGGATTGCCCTAAAAAAAAGTTAAATTTTTGTTTTTAAAACAACAAAAAAACTTATAGTAATAAAAAGTCAAATATCTTACTGAGATAATATATTTGCCGGCATCAACAGGATACGGGCCAGACGCTGTCGGGAACGAATATCACCGACGCCGGAAACGAGACTTCGATTTTGACGCTCTCGGAAGCGAACTTCAAGACATCCCGACCATTCACGAAGCGCTTCAGAGACAGTGGCGCCGGTGAGGTCCTGAAAATCGAATAAGCGAGTAGGCGTTAATTTAGCCGCATTTTTTTCACAGGTTTTGACTCTTTTGATTTTCCTATTTTTGATTTCGCAGTTTATTTCCCGAATTTTAATCAAACTAATTTCCCCAAGCTTTTATCCATTTCGCCGTAGTTTACGCTTCAATACTAATTACGCTGAGTGTCAAAAAAGGACCAAACGGGGAATTTGATGGTTTTGTTATCGAAATTAGTACAATTTTCCGTACTTACCCTAACCATCTAAAACACTGTTTTTCAAATCTCTAAAAATTCTCACATTTGGCAGAAATAAAGCACAAGCAGCAACAAAAGTCCCCGAGTCTAATTTTTGCAAAATAAATTATGACAAGACGGATGTTGAAGAAATAAAAATTAGTCAAGATAACCTTTTGACGGAATAGAGCCACTAACCCTCATCAAATCCGGATGGACGACAATCGGGTCTCGCGTCTCGGCCACCGTATTCTTGACGTCAAGAAGGCGCGACGTCGGACAGCCACTGTCAATGCCCAGCCACTCGAAGCGCCCGGTCACGGCCACGTAGTGCGTCGTCTTGTAGGCTACCTAAACAATTGATTAGCGGGTTGATTCAAGATCTAGTCGAACCTGGCTAATCTTTCGCCAGATATCCTCGTCGCATAAAATGAGCGCATCTGGGGCTCCGTCCTGGAGGTCGAGGTCGAGGTAGGAGGAGTTCTAAAAATTCTCTATTTAAAGGGACGGACAAGGCATGGATTCCTATCGATCAATGTATAGAATTTTTCGAAAAATGATCGCCCGTCATTCGCTTTAAATCTGACATAACTCACATCACAAAACGACTTCGAGCCGAGATACCGCAGGAAACTGAGCACCACCTCGCCCGGGTTGCTCACCGTGCCGAGCGGACTTTCGACGGGGACGCCATATTTCGGCTAGAATCAAAAACATCAAATTCCCGAAAAATGCCAAATACCGTATTGGGAAAAGTGACTGGCGGTTTGTAGTCGTCATTGTAGTGATCCGTACCCTGGGGGCGGACATGGCAATACTGGAAGAGGAGGTGGGCCAGATAGCGGGTGGTGCGCGAGACAAAGTTGTTGTCTTTCACCTCCCATAGGCTTGTTGGTGTTTTCTGAAACGGTTCAATAAATTAAAAAAATCGTCCTTACGTTAATTTTGCCTAAAAACATCCCTAAAATCAATAAATAAAGTATTATAAATAAGAAATTCTTTTGAAAAACTTCTCACATTGTCGAGCCAGCGATAGAGAACGTAGAGCATATCCAGGATACCGTCACCAAAAGCCGCAGCGTACCTTAATGGACCATATTTCCGAAAATTTCGAAAAACTTACCGCTCCACCACTTCAAAATCTCGAATAAGCTCGTGGAAAGCCGCGTCAATTCGGCGCATTTGGCCTGCAATGTCGGAGAGTCGAGAAGCCACCTGAAAATATACAAATGAATAGTAAAACAATAAATACAACTAAAACCAGGAATAAGCGCAAAAAATGAACCTTTGATCGAGTGCGCACGAGGACATTCGGGTCATTGTCAGACAGCAACTAAAACAAGGCTTTGAAAGCTACGCTACAAGACCAACCAGTCGCCGCTTCGCGCTGGCCAACACGTCCCAAACGACCCACGGGAACGACAGGAAAGTGCGTGAGGAATGCTTATCATAGGCCACGGCGTACCTAAAAAAAACAAGGTTTTGAAGATTATCTAGAACAAAATCGCCAAAATTAAATTTTTCTTTGGCTACAAGTATCGTCCTTTAAAGTTTAAAATGAAAACCAATTTTATATGCTGATCCCCTACCATTGTCGAGCTCTCAATTCCATCTCCTCCGTGAACCCATCCTCAATCAAACGCTCTTCATCCCCAAATTCCTAAAAAATAACTTGGAAATTTCCATCAATGAAGCCTACATTAAAAAACTGCTTCCGGAAATGCGTGAAAATGGCCGCATAGCGCACTTCGACAATTTTGTCGGTGTGGAAGAAGGAGTAGTCGTCTTTTTCCTAAAATTCAGAATTTAGGTTTATTTCCAAAATTACCATCGATGTGAGGCGCTTCAGGGAGACAATATGGCCGGAAACAACTTGGGCTTCATCGGTGATTGTGTATTCGTCGAGGAGGGACTGGAAGAGGGTTTGAATAAATTAATCATCTTCCTTCTTTTCCTTCAAAATAAATAATTTTTTAGTTGAAAGAATTTAAAAGCTAAATACCTGCATCCGCAATGAATATTCCTTGAACAACCGCACAATTTCGGCTTGTTTTTCCGGGCGGGCTTCAAAGGGATTCCAGCCCTATAACAAGCAGACTTTAGAAAGTTTACAACCTGATCAACCTCTGGAAATAAATGTGGTTCCAGCGCTGCATCAAATGGCGATGATGACGTGTCGACCTCCTCGATGATGTTGTCGATGCGCTTGATTTTACTAAAAAATAAAAAGTCGAAAGAACAGACAATAAAACTAGTTTTTTACTTCTTTTCATTTCTTCTTTTTTGTTTGTCATCACTAACACAGATTAAAACAATTAAAATAAAACTTAGACATACTTGAAATTGAATATAATAGAGCTCAAAATATACCGGTAAAGCTGCCCGTTCAGCCAGCGGCTCATAAACTGCGCCTTGCTTCTGTGCTCCATATAATCGGGCGAGCTGTCCACCTGCAGAAAAACTCGTTAAAATAGAGTAAAAATAAAACTAAAATAAAATAAACGAGAATTAACCACAAACATTTTCATCTGGAGACAAGTTATCGGCCGGTTTGCCCGTCTTCGGGAAATCCACAGCTACCGAGCACTTTTTGGCGATAGAGGTCGAAGCGGCGCTATAAGAAAAATCGAAGATTAAATAAAAATAAACAATACGATTTTTTAGTTACCTAAATAGCCCATAATAATCGGAAGCGCGGAGATGCGCATTTGACAGTCGACCGATCGAATCTTGGGACAGGTAGCGCATGAAGAATTGGACCATGTCTTTGTGCTAAAAGAAATATAAAAAATAATCGACAAGAAAATTGTCAACCGTGGGTAGCTTTTCAGCGATTTTGCCTTCCTCGGCCGCCGGGAAAGACATTGCCGCTTCGTTGTGGTCGAAAAAGCAGCGCTCGTCGAAGATGACGCTGTATTCATCACCGTCGAGATCAGAGCCTGCAAGGAGTCTCAGGGCCAAAATACTACAAAATATTGACTTTACGACTCGTGACAATTTTTAACATTTTTTAAGTTTTGCAAAGCTTTCCCCGCTAAAATATAAATGTTACTAAAAATACTAAAATACTTATTATTAGGCTACTATTAACGTGCGACCAGTCAGAAGGATTCAGTCAAATTAAAATAAAAAACCAAACATGTGAAATGAAAAAAGCTGTATTATCATATTTTCTGTCAATTCCCCCACCAGCCATCTCATCGGGATGTGGCCGTGGACCATGCTGCGGGAAGACGATCACGTCGAAGAGGTGGTGAAGCGCGGGTTGGTCGATCGCCTCGAAAAGCCGAACATCTCCAGCGACGTGGCACGGGTTTTTGGAGACAAGGACCGTGCCTAAAAGTGCGTGAAAATAACCAGCCAATCATGCCTTGATAAATCTGCGTGACCAGCCGGCTCTCCTTGCGAACGCCGGGGACGATCTTGTCGCGGATTTTGGTCGTGGAGTATTGGATAAAGACCTAAAGCGGGTTTTCAACGAATTTTAAGCTTTTTGGTACTTGCGCACTAGCGGGCGAGGGAGCATTTCCAGGAGAAACCTAATTTTTTTGGTATAAAAGTCTAGAAATGCCCGGCACGTAATCGTAAATATTTTCATCGTAAATTCCACTAAATTTAAAGTGGAAAAACTACTTTGTTTTTAAACTATTTTGATCGAAAACGCGATTTTTTTTTGCATTTTCTAAAACAATTTTTTTAATAAAATCGACAACGCTATTGAATTAACATCAGTTTTTAAAAGTATAATTAACCTGTCCACTCTGCAACAACCCCGTATCATCCACCACTCCATACATCGTGCGTCCCAAATCGAGCGGCAAGAAAATCTTCATTTTGGACTGAAATTGGATAGAATAAATTTTTTAAGCGGTCCTACCCTGCTGAGGTGTTGTGTGATGTTGTGCTTATAAACGGCTAGAAGGAGTCGGCGGAAAAAGGGCTCGTCGGTCATCGTGATGCCACACTAGATAGGTTAAAATTAAAATAACTGCATTTAAAACCTCAAGAATTCGCTGATAATTGACAGGGATTGGAAGGCGTTGACAAAGAGCCATTGCGGCATCATTCTCGTCGAGGAGCATTCCTAAAAGCTAGAACTCAGCCGAACTGGGGGAAATTTTACGCGTCAAAACGGAAAGTTCCCGCTCCAGATATCGGTGTATCGTGCGCGAGATACGCAAATGTACGTCGGGTCCCTGTTTGTGAGCCACCTAAAAAATGGAGCATGATTTGGAAGCGGATTTTTACTTGGTCAATGATGTTGATCAATGGGCGATTGAGGCAGACGGGCGACAGCATCGCGTATTTGACAATCTCCAGCAGGCTGTCGCCCTCGGTTGTGTCTTGGAATTTCTCTTGGCTTTTTCTGAAAAACCATGCTTCTTGTTTTACTTGTATTTACCGATTTTTTTCTCGCTATAAGATAGGAACAACGAATTTCTTCTTTAAGAAAAACAAAATAAATAATTTTGTACTTCAAATTGTATTCTCCGAAACTCAAAAATTATCAATTTTTTACCTAAAAACCACTTTCGGACCGGTGTAGCCGTCAAGTTGCGGATCGATCGTCAAAACACCCTTGAACCCCTTGAAACGGACCTAAAAATAATAATTCCAAATTTTAAGAAGGTAAATTACCTGGAAACAAGACGGCACATAGGTCAGCTCGAGCATAATTTGTATCTGGACGGCCAGTTTGTAGCTGATACGGCCAACCTACAAGAAAATAAATCAGGGATTCCCCCATGCAGCTCACCCCATCGGAGAAACAGAATTCTTTTTGCGTGTAGAGTTGGGAGCCGCCGACGTAGTCGTCCTCGACAATCCAATCGCAGGGCCCGAGGCGAACTGTCGGCTAGAAAAATAGGCATTGCTTCACAGATCCACTTCTCTTTACCTGGGCCTGGGTGAAGCATTGCCCCATTCGGCTCATCATCTTCGGCACGCTCGTGCACATCGAAAAATCGCCCATCCAGCTGAAAATTAGCAAAAAAAATGCAGAAAATTTCGAAAACCCACTCCCGGATCTTTTCAATGTCCTTTCGTGTATTTGCCGCGTAGAGATAACAACCGTAGTCTCGCATCTAAACGGCGAAAATTTTATGGGCTAATGGAGTGGCTTACCTGCGAGTTACTCCAAGCCAAAAATTTGTAGCATCGATCGACGACCTTCACTTCTTCCATCATCGCCTTGCTGATAATGTCGAGGATTTTTCGAGGATAGGTTTGGGCTAAAAAAACTGTTTTTATTCCACGTTTATCCGACCTCCACCAGCATTCCCGATAAAGAACTCAAACGGTCTGAGCGTTTGACCCGAGTCATCGCGGAACACGCATCTAAAAGTTCGGTTCTTTTCTAATATCGGGGGAGCAAACTTTTCTCGAATTAGGATCGAACTCCAAATTGTAATAAACGATGTTTTTCATACTTTTATTTAATTCCGAGACGTAAAAATTGGCCATATCCCCCTAAAAAAACGCAATATCTATCTTTCAAACAAAATTACGATTTTTCAACACTTTCTTCAAGTTTTTAGATAGCTTCTCCATTTAAAATAAAGTTAAGCTTTCCACAAAAACAAGATTAGATCAATTTTTGCCATATTAGTAGGCATTTTCGACCTTTAGTAAAATTTTGCAATAGCATAAAACTTAGCCGACTACCTTAATACTTTATGCTAGGATACCTCAAGGCCTTTTCTTCTCCAAAATGCCTGACAACACGGTTGGCGAGCATCACTTCCGGTGCCATCAGGAGTGTTCGTAGCGGGCAAACCATCACCTAAAAATGGCTACACAAAAATAATTAGGCTTTCAACCTTTCTGACGAGCACACAATTTTTGGGGATTTCCTGGGCGGACTTCCAGACTTCCGTCATGTGAACGCCTCGTTCTTTGGCTTCGTTGTAGGCAGTCATCCAGTCGGAGAACTAAAAAAAATGGGTTATGAATACGTAATTAAAATTAAATTTTAAAATCGGTGCAAAAAAATTGTATAAATCCCCACGTTGAGCCGGTAAATCTCTTGGAATGCGCTGGTCAAATTCATATCCCGCCGTTCGTCCACCGCCACCAGCAAGTTCTCGAGCGCTGTTTCACAGGCCAGTGGGCATTCCTAAATCGGAAAATCGTCAAAAAAGAGATAGAAAAAGACTAAGAAAGGGAGCAAAGATAAATGAAAAATTCTAGTGTAATTTAATTTCATAGTTACCGTGTGCAATTTTCAAATTACCTGATAGGCCAATCGAGCGCTGCGGAAAAACGGCAGCTCATCCACTTGCGAGCAGGTGACGGCATTCCGGTGGAAAATCTGATCCGTAACCACGGCACCACGAGAGATCAGAGCCTTAAAAAGTGCTTTTCTCCCCAAAAATTTTACGTGTATCGTGTAGTTGGCGCGGAAGGAGCCGATATTCGGGACGTACGCTTTCGGCGCTTCCGGGCATCTTCGAAACTAAAAAAATACACTAAATTTAGATACGTTAATTAATACCACTATTGGAGTTGTAAAAACGCGAATCTGGGCCCGCTCCGAGATACGGCCGATGATCGTCAAGAAATGGGCTGGGATATGTGGGTAATTCTGAAAAATTTGTGTTTAGACTGCACTGGTAAGAAATTAAGGCGTTGCTTTCGCAAAATCATGAAATTTTTAGCCATTCCCTTGTCCTAAATTTAGCTAAATCTAGAGTCGCAAAACTGTCTAGCAAATATCAAAAGCTGATTCAAAATTGTAATTTGATAGAAAATTGTTCAATTTTTGTCGGAAAATCTATATTTTTGTAGTTTTTAAACCTAAAAAATCATAAATTTTTTAGCATTTAAAAAAAGTTAGATTTATGTAAACAAGTTGACTTTGTTAGCTCAGAAAACATTATTAAAATTTAGATTTTGTTAGTAGTTTATGTTGAGATTTTTCGAAAAACCCTATTTACCTCATCAATGACGTAACGCTCTTGGTTGGCCCCAATTTTGTCGGTGTTGTTGTTGATGCGCAGCGCGATGTAGAGGCTGACGGAAATTTCGGGAAGCCGTAAAAACCACTCACTTATTGCCAAGACTCTCCTTCGAGCATCCGACCGATTCGTCAAAGCTCGGCCACCCGAGTTCACGCTCCCATTCGCGCGTCTCCAGCAGGTTCATCGTGCGCTGGGCCTGGCGTTTGGGGATGGCGCGGAAGAGCTGGAATTCCGAATTTTCAATATCCGCCAAGAAAAATCAACCTGCGGTGGGTGTTTCATATGAAAAATCAGTGTAGTTTGTTCGGGCTCGCTGCAATCCAGGGTTAACGAGACGATGCTACCATAGTCGATTTTCTAAAGTAATAAACGCTGGAAAAAATTTAGCGGCGAACCATTTGATAGCCATCGTAAATGAGACCATCATCTTGAGGGGGGATTCGGACACCAAAGTAGAACTTCATCACCTTCATGTCGTGCTCAAAGGTGGCAAAGGACAGCTCGTTCTGCCGATCTAAAATTATATTAGTTGTATCAATTTCAATTAATCGCCGCTTACCTGCAACAAAAGCTTGTCGCGAATTCAGCAACGGCTTCATCCGCTCATTGCTGATCTGGTTTTCGCCAGTAAAATAGTCCCCTCGAACCAGGAAAACGCCGCTAGTCGTCATATTGCCGATCATCAACGACTGGAAGGAGATTTGCTTGTGGATGATGCTGGAGAAAAATAAGTTTGCAGCCAAAAGCAAGAATTTTTTACTGTTTATCGATCCCCGCATCTTTCAGGGGCAACGCGAGCCGTTTCCGCTCATAAATCCGGTGCTCATTGGCCTTGCAGAATTTCGCAGCCAGCAGATACAGCGTCATCAAGCGACCTGGAATTTATTTTACAAACACAAATTTAGCAGTAATTTACGGCATTCCAGGAGAAGATTGTCAGCGCCGTACAATCGTAGCGTGGCGTTTAGGATCAACTAAGAATTCGAAATCTCGTAAATAATCAGCAAAAAAAACCTCGTATTCCTGCCTCTCGTAAAGTGATTTTGGCAATGGTGCTAAAGCCCGGAGTTCCGTTTCCAAGAGGTCACACTAAAAATCCGCGGGTTTTTTTGTAATTTCCACGAGCTTTACCTGTTCCAAATCCTCGCCGACCAACCGGATCGTATAATCATCAGCGTGCTGTCGTAATCCAAAGATGGAGAGCTCACAGTGATAGGCACTAAGAAAAAATGCATTATCACTAACGGAAAAAGCTCTCACTCCACTTCTCGCAGAACATTCGTGGCAGCGACATCCTCCTGCGGGCCGGTAACCTAAAAATGAGAATTTATCAGTTGGCCGGTTTTCCATACCTCGCCCTCATCTATTTTCATTTGCAAAAATCCATAGGCGCTGTCTCTAAAAAAGTTAATTTAAGAAAGCGAAATTTCAATAAACTTTGTCGCATCAACGGTACTCTTCGAATTGATCTGTTCTCGCGTTCTATTCTCTTCCAAAGCTTGAATTGTTTCCGGGCAGACGTCTTCGTAGAGCTCCTAAAAAATTTCGATGTGAACATCTTTTTACACTAACCCCGAGGACATTGGGCAAAGCACGGAGGCACGCCGTCGCTATCCGCCTCAACTCCTCGTACAGTGAAAAGTGGATGTTTTGGTAGCGTTGTATCGCCGCTAAATCATAACTATACTTTGTAGATTAATGAATACCGTGTATCAAATGGTATCTGAAGTGCGGGATCATTCGTGGGAGTTTTTCGATGAAAAACGGTTCATGCTGAAATCAAGATCGGGTCAAAACAAAGTATCCAAGCTACCGTTGGGTAAAACGGAAGCCAATGGGCATAGTATGGCAACCAAGCGGGCGCTGGCTGATCGAGCAGTTCTTCGAACACCTCGGCAAAGCATAGAGACAAAATCTAAACTCGAGATGAGGTCTCGAAACAGGAAAACGATACCTCATTCATAGAAAGGAGCCTGACCGACGCTCTATTTGGGGGCAAACGAAAGCCAGGGTGGTCGGCTACCAACCCAAAGAATGGGCAATATGATCTAAAACATAGTTTTAAAAAACCAGTAAAAAGGTTACATCGCAGCACGCACTTCGCGGCGGCCAAATTCCACCTCTATATCGCTGATTTGATTGTTTTCACTAAAAAAGCTTTAGAAAAGAAGGAACTCTTGCCCAGGCAAGATTGGAAGACTTCTCGTTCTTCTTCTATTCAGCGTGACAGTGGCTTCAGCCATCTCAAGCTCGTCTGGCTCCGGCCATGCCAGATTCTCTAGAGAAACTAAAAAAAAAACGCAATAATTAAAAACAAAAAGAATTACCATTGCCAGCATCCAATACTTGGCCCTCGTATGTCTTCAACGCCTTGCAACATCGCCTAGAGGAATAATAAGTACCTGAAAACCTTGTACCTTATACGTTCGCGCATCATTCGCTGGCAAGCTTTACAGTCGGCCGGGTGCAAAGCGACAGGTTCTCCATTCTCCTCAACGCCCACCTCGTCCTCCTGAGTATAAAGCTTATATAAACATCTGGTTACTAACAATGTTCAGGATTTCTTCCGTCTCCCATGTTGCTCCATCTGGCTGCGAGTCATTGTCCATAGATGGAGGGATAGTGCTGAAAATTCATGAAGAATTTGCTAGCGCATTTCAAAAAAATAACGAGAATAAGTCTTGACATTTTTGAAATTTTGAAGTATTTCATGCTTTAAACAAAGAATCAATTTTTTTCGAAAATACTATTATTTGTTTAGAAACCATTTATATCCCGAAAGGGTGTCATTAAAATAGTTTTCTACTTCATCCACGAAAAATTGAAAAAAATGGGTTTTCGCCTTCTAACAGCCAACAAAAAAAAATGAAAATTTAGCCCGTCAATTTTCTCCAAATCTCGAATTCTCTGCATGTATACGTAAATATGATAATTTTTCGCGTTGTATCGTCATCAATTCAAATCATGAGCGAAAAGCTGGAGTTCAAACTTTATCCGAGTAGTGCAATAATCTCTAAAACAATGGGAGCGGGATAAGAAGCAAGTAGCTAGACGCGATAGGGGTATAGGCACAAACGAAATGAGGTAAAACTATATAAAAGCAAAAGAAATATTAATCACTACGTGGTACAACTAATTCCTACCTAATTTCAGCATGGTCACTTTATTTGGGGGCGAATTGCTCAGGGGAACCCGTGTGTGTTTTTTTAATTATAGATTATGGACTGAGCAGGGATGACTTATAAAAATGACAAGCAGTAAGCTCGCACTCTTCTGAAAACGAACAATGCAACGAGTAGGCCGGCACCAGAATATTTGGGCTAATAGTACAGCTGTGGCGAATAGATGTTGGTAAAATCGTCTATTGGGACGGCGAGTCCGGGTGGAAGAAGTTGGTGGAGAACTGCTCGAGGCCGCTGAGCACGAACGTCGTTTTGCCCCTAAATCGAGTTATAGATTGGGATTTTAGATTTACTTGATGGCAGAAAGCCCCTTGAGCTGATGGTCGAGCACGTTGATCTTCGACTGGGCCGACTCGAGGTCGCCCTTCATCTCGCGATGCACGCCGGCCACCGTAGCGCGGAGCCCATCGTACACTTGCTCCATTTCACTGAAGAAAAAAACCGGTAAACCCCTATTTACATAAATTTATCTGACGTCTATTTCCACCATTACTCTTGATAGCCACGCGACCGCTTTTTGCCTTGTAAAGGTTAAGCTTAGTGACGACCAAAATTCTTTTGATAGTCTTTTTAGTAAAATCTAGCCGTATGAAAATCAAAAACCGAAAAAAAATTCCAAATTTTGGACGAAAATGGTCAATTTTGGGCGGAAATCTTTTTTTGTAAGCTTGCAAAGTTTACGTTTAATAGTAAAAAAATGCCTAAACCTATCTTTTTTATTAGAAAAATTGGATCCTAAAGCAAAAACCAACCGGATGACTTGGGTCTCGCAATGGTTGGTGTGCGCAGCGGCGACTTGCCGCATTCGCGCATCAAGGTGGGAACGGTACTGAACAATCATAATTGATAAAAAACAGATATCTTTCTTCTACCTGGTCCTTCAAGTGTTGCTCCTTCTTCGAGTTGTTCCAGCGGAAGCGCTCAAAGGCGTAGAGACCACCGTAAGCCGCTCCAGCCCCGAGGATCACCTAAATAGAGATTTTTGATGGTATTGAAAAGCAGGAGCTTACCTTCCAGCCGACCGCCCTATAGAGCAGTCCGCCAACGATAGCCACCCCAATTCCGCCATTCGCGACGTAGGCGGCTGAAGAGAGCACAATGTTGGTCATCATCTGCTGTTCCTCGGATTCGGCAGCCTTCTTATCCTCCCTCTGCTGGATCGGGGTTGCTGGGGTCGACGTTCCATTGGAGGTCTTTGAGGACTAAAAAGCGAGGTGCTTTGGCAATATCGGGGGAGTGAACGTCAGAAAATTTTCCCATATTTTCATCATGTTTTTGATAAAATGTAGCTAATTGTATGTGGGGAAAAAGGTTTTAGAAAACTGGCAAACAAACGTCAAAACATTCGAGATTTTCGCGAATATGGAGATTTTGCATTTTTTTTACCTAGAAAAATCGCAAAAGGACATTTTTTTGTTTTAGAATAAAAAAACACTCCTGAAACGTCCAAAATCAAATCTGGTATGGTATATTTTAAAGTATTACCAATGCGGTGGCCAGCAGGTTGTTTTGAATGGCCGTCACGGGCTGACCGCTACGATACGCGATGACTTTTCGGATGATTGCAGATAGACCGAACGAGAATCTAAAGAAAAATAATCTCTAATGGTCAATTTATCGTACCGGAACTCCAAATCCTCGTGGAAATCGTTGGTGAGCGATGGGACGTCGACGCAAATCGAGAACTTGAACGGGGCACGGTAACGCCACACCTCTTCGAGCTTTGGCTGGTACGCTTCGGCCAGAATCTTCTTGACGTAGACTAAACGAATTTGGCGGTTAAAATCACTCTGGATCAAGCTAACCAAACATCTCATTCTCCAGCGACCAAATGCGGCTCATCAGCCCGCCGGTGCACCTCGCTTCTAGCTCTTGGGAAATCATCGAATCAACAAAAAGCGCCAGCTCCTGAAGTTCAAATTTTTAAAACAAACGCTAAGCCAAACCGTTTTGTAGGCATTAATGTCTTTAGGCGAGTCCAGGAACGGTCGATTGAACTTGTCTATGATCGCAGAAAGTCGTTGGATTTCTTCGTGGAAATCTGCCGAAACCTAAAGCACAAATTACCAGCGCAGAGATGACAAACAAACCTTCAAATGGACCTCAGCCCGCAGCATTTCCGACTGCTCCCGATAGGCCTTCTCAAATGCGGCAAAATTCTCGCGGCAAGCGTTGAACTCGTTCGTGCTTTCCTAAATCGAAAAATACAAGAAAAAACTAAAAATTACTTTCAACTCGTTTTGCATCAGCTCCTTTTTGTCGTTGGCGCTTGTAAAGACATGATCGACATTGTCACGCACTCTAAAAACTCGTTGAGGCTTTTTGAGCAAGACCACCTGTGCACCAACTCGTTGGCGCGCCGAGAATGTGCCTCAAATTTGCTCCGAATTGCCGATCTAAACAGAAATTTAACTTGGCAAGCAAAAATGCGGACTACTTTGAGATGCACTGCTCGAACTGGCGCTCAAACTGCGTGAATTCGTAGGCGCGCTTCTGGAAGCCCTCCATCTCGAAGGCTTTCTGGATGACCCCACGGGCCTTCAGCCTGGCGTCCAGCACTTCGCGGGAACTGACGAAAAAGACACGATTCGGGACATCGCTCGTCGCGCAAACCTACAAAAAATAGTAAAAATTAATGAAAGATTACGGACTTGTAATTCATCGACCAAGAACTGCTTGAAGCGGGTGAGGTGCTGTGTTCGGACCTAAATCATAAAAATGTTTTCTTGCGATTTTTTCAAGGATACCTGATCAACGCTGTCCTGCTCCGCAGCGCTGGCATCCCAGCGATTATTCAAGATGAAGACGTTCGGTTTCGAGAGGCGCTTGCTGACGCGATGGAAGAACGATTTTTCCTAGGAGTGCTAATAAAAATGCAGTAGAAAGGGCGTACAGCCTGGGTCAGAGTGGCCTCGGCGTTGCAGACGAGCACGAAGACGTCGGCGTCGAGGCAGTGCTTGTCAATCCACGAGTCGAACTCGGGGGAGAGGTCGACACCGGGGCTAAAAGAGATTTTATTGACGTTATAGAGTCTTTTTATAGCTATTAGCTATCCTAAACAACATTCGGGAAAATCCAAATACGGCTAAATGAACGTCGTAAAATGAATCCAAATCTCCAGGGTCATCCCACGACATACCTATCCAATATCACAACATCATTTTGCAGCAGACGATTGTCCTTCTTCGGGTGCATGATTTTGAGCAACGAATCCTGCCCCATCGCCGGCAGATCGGCATTGTCGGCCGAACACGCGTCACCGATCTAAAACCAGAATTGAAAAAGAAGACCCAGGCTGCTCGCCTTTCCCAGCTGTGACATCGGAATCGGTGTCGAGGTGCCCTCGGAGAGCAGGAATCCCTGTTCATCGGTCGTGCCTTGGACCTAAATATACAATTAAAAGGAGCCATTTAGTAAATGGTTACCTGAAGAAAGCAGCAAGTAGTATGGCCCATGCCCTGGGGCAATATCTTCTGGTGGAGCATCGCGTTGATGGTTGTAGATTTGCCATTCGAGGTCCTAAAAGAAGGTGATAAAGCAGAAACTATTTCATTCCTACCTTCCGAAAAAGACGACCTTCATGTTGTCGCGCTGGAAAGTCTCCATGATGGTCTTGATCGAAGCTCGAATCTCTTGGACCTCATCTCGCGATTCAGCAGCCACAATCGAAGGTTGATTCTTGTCGAGTTCTAAACGAAAAAGCTCTTGTAAGACGCGATGCCAAATTGGACTCAAAATTTTTTACGCCCTTCTTCCCTCAAATTAAAGCCACAAAAAAAGATAATAAAGTATTTACCATCATAAAATCCCTCCGTCTCGTCGACATATCTCGTCAAATCGTTGTAAATTTCGCCTAACACCTTCTTGGCGTCGGCGAAACGTTGCAGCGGCTCGTTCTCCCCATTCATACGCCGCTGCGTCTTGCCTACATGAGAATTTCAACCGCAAAAAAAGGTTTCACAAACCGCTCATCACGCTCCGCACGTGGTCCCCACCAGCTAGTTGCGCCGCCGTTGACATTTCTATCGCATACCACTTGTCTAGAACCACGAATTATACCGGCAAGCCGAGAAATGCGGTTTTAAAGTGGTATGTTCAAAGTTAGGTGACGAAAAGCCGATCCACTACGAGGGTAACCTCTTGACGGGCATATAACCGCCCGTCCGGTCGGCGGTACTCAAGAAATGCCAATGTCCCAAGAACATCAATGTATAACGTGCATTTGTCTATGCCGAACGTAAGAAATACTTTTATCGATAACACAAACGTACGCGCATGAATAGAAATAGGGTGGAAGGGGGGCGTTTGCGAGATCTAGGGAAGGACAACAGAATAGAGCGTTCGATGGGCCCGGTAGAAGACTAAACGTGAACAATTCAACAAGAAATTACGGGGAGGGGTGGGACGGGGATAGGGTAAGGGGAAAACAAATCATCAAAGGGTACAAATGGTCGGTAGGAAATATGGATTGAAATCAATAAGGACGGCCACGATCTCTGTCACGGTCGCCGCCACCTCCTCGACGATCACTTCCGCCCTCACGATCACGTCCGCCGCCTCGCATCGGGCCTCCACCGCCACCACCTCCTTGTCTGGGGGCGTGGCATTGGTTGCATTCCTGCCGGAAGCCAAAGTTGACGTTTCCGCATTCGCAGTGCCAATCCGTGGGGCGGATTTCGAGGTTGGAGTTTCCGCCGCCACCGCGGCCGCCTCTGTCACCACCTATCAGGACATTTAAAAAAAAAGAAATTGGTCGATACCACGGAATCCGCCGCCGACACGTCCTCGACCTCCATCGAATCCACCGCCACGTCCTCCAAAGCCACCCCCGCGATCACCGCCGAAGCCGCCGCGGCCTAGAAAATCCATTTTCAAGAGAAAAATAGAATTTTTATACCTCCAAAATCGCCGCCGCCTCCTCCAAATCCACCACGACCGCCTCCACGTCCTCCAAAACCGCCTCCACGGCCGCCACCTTCAGCGTCACGGTTACGGAACTAAAAGATAAAGTCATAGTTGGACTTTGGCTTTAGACCTGGTTAGAAAAACACCTAACAAGGGAACCTCACGGGGACATGGTGGAATTTCGGAAAACGCTCGCGGCTACCCCCGGGTAATCGGCCATTGCGATCACGATGCGCTTGTCGGATTTTTCTAAATAGACCTGTGGACAGAGATACAGCACTTCCGGAAAATGCTGATTTACATGCAAAAAATTAGCATAGAAGAATGGTTTATGAGGCTCTCTCATCACTATGGAATCACCAGTTGAATGGCCGAGTGGTAAGCGACTCGCTTGATAGGATTCTAACGAGGGTTCGAATCCGCCCACGATTTTTTGTTTTTGCTTTTTGGTCAAAGATTTTTGTACAAGTCCAAAATCATAAGTACTTCTTAATTTGATGACGCTTGTCGACGTTACGTGGTTAGAAAATTATTCTTGTAAAAAATTTTTATTTTTTGTTGCAGATGGTCAGGTGTGGGAACCTCAGCCGGCGGATCTGATTTTCATTTTTCGATTTTTTGCCTTTAATTGTTAAACATGGAATATAACGCCAATAGGGATTTCGGACTATTACTAGTAACAATCTGGACTTGTACAAAAATCTTTGGCCAAAAAGCAAAAACAAAAAAATCGTGAGCGGATTCGAACCCTCGTTAGAATCCTATCAAGCGAGTCGCTTACCACTCGGCCATTCAACTGGTGATTCCATAGTGATGAGAGAGCCTCATAAACCATTCTTCTATGCTAATTTTTTGCATGTAAATCAGCATTTTCCGGAAGTGCTGTATCTCTGTCCACAGGTCTATTTAGAAAAATCCGACAAGCGCATCGTGATCGCAATGGCCGATTACCCGGGGGTAGCCGCGAGCGTTTTCCGAAGTTCCACCATGTCCCCGTAAGGTTCCCTTGTAAGGAAGAAGGACTTCCCACGATTTTTGCGAAAGGACCAAAAACTCTACCTTGGCAATGGTGAGCCGCATCTTCTGATCGGTGCCCGGGAATGGCTGCCCGTCGTACATTCCGATGACTTTCTGGGCCGTGTCCGGGTCGGTGAACGTGATCATGCATTCGCCCTTGTTCTCCCCGGTCGCGCGGTCGGTGTAGATTTTTACGCTAAAATCGAAATTGAACGAAATGGCTAAATTCGATACCGAGGTTGGCCGGTCTTGTCGTGAACAGCTACTTGGCCGGCAGCGCCGAAGACGTCTTGTACGAATTGTTCGTTGGCCGACTTGGGGATGCCTTGCACGAAGACGGTGTCGGGAAGTTCGACTTGGTCACCGCCATCTCGGCCACCGCCGCCACCGCCAAATCCGCCTTCACGGCCACCGAAACCGCCGCCACGACCTGAATGGAGAAATTTTGTACGGAAACCCGAAAGCCCTAAGATAAAACACGATAGTTGTTCTATAAAAAAAACCATGAGTAGTAGAAAAATTTAACATTCTTTAAAAAACATAGGAAAATGCGAATTTAGGCCAAGTGATAGATTTTTACGACAGCTTGTTTTTAGGTCAAACCAAATACATTTTTCTACTGTAAACCTAGATATTTACTAAAATTAAGCTCAATCTTACATTGTTCAGCACAACATAGCTAAAAGGTTTATCAAAAAGAACATACCGCCAAAACCGCCGCCCCGTCCGCCAAAACCGCCTCCACGTCCTCCATCGAATCCGCCTCCACGTCCACCGAAGCCACCGCCGCGCCCGCCATCATAGCCACCGCGGCCTCCGTCGTGTCCTCCACGGCCACCATCGTAGCCTCCACGACCTCCAAAGCCGCCGCCTCCGCCACCGCCACCGCGTCCTCCCTCGTAACCGCCACCGCGTCCGCCTTCATATCCGCCTCGGCTTCCTTCGTAGCCGCCACGGCCTCCTCCGTAATCACCGCCGCCACGGCCTCCCTCATAGCCGCCCCGACCGCCGTCGAAGCCGCCACGTCCGCCTTCGTATCCACCGCGACCGCCGCCTCGTCCTGAAACAATAAACTAAACAGTGTAATGGGGCAGAAAAATCGTTTTTCCCAGTTACCCTTACAAAACCGGCAAACAGCAAATGTCGTACGGTTGTAAAATAAATTATTGTCCCTATAAAGTACGGTGCGATACCTTAGCAAAAGCAAAGTAATTTTAAGGCATAATCTATCTAACTTCGTGCGGATTCTGGAAATTTTCCTGAGTACATAAATTTTTCGAACCAACCGTGCGACATTTACTAATTGCCCTCAAAAAATCCCATGTAAACCTTATAAAAAAATAACACGCAAAATTCACAAAAACCGCCCGCTATAAAATGTTCACAATCCCTTCGACCATGGACACTTCTTCAGCAATCGTGATTTCCCCCACCACTTCCGTAATTCCCCATATTTACCAGTTTTGCCATCTCATTTTTATACCTATACCCAGTTACCGTTTTGAACGCATTTTTACTACTACGACCCCCAAATACGATTCATTATTTTTTTGATTTTATCGATCCAATTTGTAGTAATACCTCCGAAGCCTCCACGGCCTCCAGGTGGTCCTCCGGGCCTAGAAATGAACAACGTCAACCGGTGCTTGCCGGCTAAGCCATCACGGATAATCAACCATACTGTGCCTTTTTTCTACCGAAAAAAATGTGGGAAATTTTGATCTCTCTAATCTCCGCTTCACGAGCTAGGTCAAAATAAAGCCTGGGGTAAGATCTATTATCCGTGATGGCCAAATTTTGTTCACACATGTGCGTTCGGATACGGGGATACGGATACCTTCACCTGTAAACGGAGAAATTTTGAACGAGACAATCCACCATGACGGCGGATTGCCGGAAAATACCAACCGCATCCTTGCTCGAAACTCACCCATATCGATACCAGAAATAGCCAATTTTCGCAGATTTACTTACCTGAACTCTATAAGTAATCAAGGCACATTCATCGCACGACACTTATGAATAAACACCTCAGATTCATTTTCGATTTTGGAAAACACCGGATTTTCGAGAAAAGGCAAAAACAGGGATCCTAACTTTGCAAGTTCACAATCAACCCAAGGAAAGAATAAGTGCTCACCCGCCAAATTCAGCAGCCGGAGCGCGGTCGTTGCCACCACCGTCCCATCGAGAAGGCCTGTCGCTGCCGCGTCCTCCGTAAGCACCACTAAAGCAGAATAATAAAAAATGATGTGTAAGCAACCGTTCGGCTCCTCCAAATCCTCCACGAGGGGGTCCGCCACGGCCAGCGTCTGCGCCATAGTCTCCACGGCCTCCGCCGCCGCCACCGCCGCGTCCACCTAAATTTCAAAATAAAGACGGCTCGCGCTCCATTTTGGCACAAATAAATCCGAAACTGCTGCTCAATAACCTGTTTGTAAACTTCCATACAGACATTTGGAACTCGAGATCATTCGAGTTTAAGATCCCCCAATACAACGGAAAACGACTCTTTAAAATTTACCTCCATATCCAGCATCATCGTAGCCACCACCACCACCTCCGGCTTGCTTGGCGGCTCCGTTTTGTTGGGCGTAGTAAGCAGAGTACTGGAACGGCTAAAAAGCCGAATAGGCGGCGAATGTCGGCACTTACATCTGCACCAGCGGCGCCTCCTCCTTGAGCCTGGGCGGCAGCGCCGGCGCTCGGATCAGCGTTGGCGGCCTGTTGAGCGTAGTATTGGGCCCATGCTTGCTCGTATTGCGCCATCGTCTGAAAACGAAAAATATGTTAAGAAAAAAATAACATTTTTCCAGTTTTCCAATGGGATCGTTGAGGTGAAAATTTACCTCAGGATCGTATTGTTGTCCGCCAGCACCGGCAGCTCCGCCGCCTCCACCACCCTGGCCGTAACCTTGTTGATAGGCCATTCGGCTCTTCAAGGATGAACCTGAAAAGTATAAAATTATGCGGGAAGGGGAATTACAGTTCATTGGCACTAAACGAAGCTCAGAAATGGATTCAAAAGCAGTTGACAAACGCTGTCTCGAGCCCAACGACTAGTTTGCAAGTGTAATACACTGTCACTAATCGAAAAATTAATTTTTTTAAGTCAACTGCACAAAAGCGCGAAATTCGTAAAAACGTTTCGGAAAAACCCTATCGCCGGGCTAATGCGCCAATTTTGCAAAAATATAGCTATGGAAGAGTTTGCCTTCATCTTATCAAATTTAGACTTCTCGACTATCGAAGTTTCGAACTGAATTTGGCATACTAAATTTCGACGAGATGAAAGTAACCGCTAGGGAAGGGCTGGGTAATGGAATGGACCGGGAAACGAGATAAAACTGACAAAATGCGACTTGTAATTCGAAGTGAGCAGATGTCTGAGCGATAGCGGTATCGAAAGAAGCGTTCGATTGGGCCACGGCCCCCTCATACGCGCCCGAAGAGACGCGTTGCGGCTCCAGTATACTACCGCCAGCGGCCACTATCCAAAATAGGGGAAAAGGCAGGCTTGATGCAGGCGAGACAAACGCTAACGAGCGGGACTAATTATAGCCAAAAACTAGCCCTCGATTGCGAGCCAGAATAAAGTAAAGTGTGAAGTAGCAAAAGGAGTGTCAGGTGTTACAAACTTGCTTTATAAAGCCGATTGTGTCGTATTAGAAGTTCTTTTTTAAATTGGTTACAAGTTTTTTGGCGAAAATATGAAATGAGTTCCGTTCTATACACAGTACGTAATGCGTAATGATATACGTGCGGAACCCTCTAATTACTTGTAAATTACCTTTCCCGTTTTTTTTTAATAAAATCTTTCTAATATAAATAAAGAAAACGTTTTTGCACAAGTTTTTTACTGCTCATAAGCTAAAATTTTTAGAAAAGTTACTTTAACACCCAAAAATTATGTATTCGACCAAAATAGTCGAATTTCGGCCCTAATTTAGAATTTCTGAACATTTCAGCAAGTTTTGTAGATAATTTCCTACTTGAAATGTAGCCGATTTGACGAAAATCACGATTAAATTACTTGCTATTACCTTATTGGTCGTTTGGGCTTCGTGAATAACCGCCTGTAATAGTAATGAATAAATTAATCTATTTTCATCTTTATAAAACTCAGTGCATATGTGATAAAAATGTTCTGATCAATCGGAAAGACTTTGCAGAGAATCTGGGAGGTGAGCATGAGATATTGAAGGGATAGGGAAATTTTTTAAGAGTACGTTGACCTTTTGAGGATCTTAAAACGAGTTTCATTACTGGTTTAAAAGGCCGTTTGCGAGAGACCCGAACGGCCCCCATAATAGCTTGGTACAGTTTTTTTCGACCCTGTTTTTTTTGGCGCCATCTGAAAGAGCATGGTCGAATTAGTAGGGTCGCACTATTTTGAGAATTTTAAAAGTTCATTTTTGGGGTTTAAATGGCCGCCAAAGTCGCGTACCTCAAAAATTTATCTCGAAAACCACACGGCCGATCTTGCTGAAAATTTTCGTCAATGCCTAATTTGGGATGGGGATCATTTCTCTAATACATCGGAAAGCACGAAAATGGCAGGAACATCGGTATATTGCGTACTATAAACAGTTTTTAAGGGATTTCGACTACCAGGCGGGTCCGGCGCATCTTGAAACTGGAATAGAAAGATGCACCGGAAAATCCTGCGTCGAATGATGTGCTTTCCAAGATGCGCCCAACTCGCCTCTAGCCGCGGCGCCAAAGTTTGTGCATCAAAAACCATCAAAATTGACGTTTTTTGGGGGATTTCTGGGCAGGGCTATGCGAGATAGTGCGAGTGAGGGAGAGGGCAGAGACGGCTAGGGTGGTCAAGTTGGATGCTCTCCGGCAGCATCCGAATAGCCCCCACAGGGCTGCTGTCTGCCTGTCTCGGCTCTCTACGCCTTCCGCACTCTCTCGTTGACCTGCCGCCGGGAATCCTCCCAAAAAACGTCAATTTTGATGGTTTTTGATGCACAAACTTTGGCGCCGCGGCTAGAGGCGAGTTGGGCGCATCTTGGAAAGCACATCATTCGACGCAGGATTTTCCGGTGCATCTTTCTATTCCAGTTTCAAGATGCGCCGGACCCGCCTTCTAGTCGAAATCCCTTAAAAACTGTTTATAGTACGCAATATACCGATGTTCCTGCCATTTTTGTGATTTCCGATGTATTAGAGAAATGATCCCCATCCCAAATTAGGCATTGACGAAAATTTTCAGCAAGATCGGCCGTGTGGTTTTCGAGATAAATTTTTGAGGTACGCGACTTTGGCGGCCATTTAAACCCCAAAAATGAACTTTTAAAATTCTCAAAATAGTGCGACCCTACTAATTCGACCATGCTCTTTCAGATGGCGCCAAAAAAACAGGGTCGAAAAAAACTGTACCAAGCCAGTTCGGGTCTCTCGCGAACGGCCTTTTAAAATGCGTTTTCGGATTTTTGGAGCGCTCTCAATTTGCGGCGCTGTACGAGGATGACGCTGAGGGTGGCGAGTTGGAGGAGGGTGAAGATCAGGGTGGCAATGAATTGGGAAAATATGAGATGCGGACAATCGGATGGCATTGACTGCTTGGCGGGCTCGGCTTCTTCGGTGTCGTTCGCGGCTTCACGGCGTGATTTCTGGGTGGGGAAACCCTCTTCAGAAGAAACGACGAGTAGCTAGAAAATTCAGATTATGAAAATAACAGGTTGTCTTAGTAAATAACTAACTAACTAACTAATGAATGCGTTTTTTAAAGTTTTTTTTTTTGTACTGTTGCATTATCTGGGGCCGGTTGTCAGCGGAAAATTTTTTACTTTAGTAGTTTTTTTGCTGATAGAAATAGCGGAAACGTTTCTAAACGGTTTTTCCTAATCTTAAACGCAAAAAATGTTCAATTTTTATTAAAAATACAAAGTATACGGATTTTTCGACCCAATTTCGAGCAAAAAATAGTGTTAAAAATTTTTTAGATAGTTTTTCCTTTTTACTTTGCTGAAAACACTATTAAAACGCTTAATATTACGCTATCAGGCATTTCGGGAGTTATAGAAAAAAATATAGGGTTTGCTGATGAGCTCCCCCTGACAAAGTACAAGCTCCAAATTTTCCAAAATTTTTATAAAATTGTTTTTAGATGATAAAACGCTCTTTTCGAGACTTACCGGTCCGGTTTCGACTCCAATCGTGATTGTTTTTACAGGGTTTCTAGGGTCTAAATTCCTGGCCAGCCGTGTCGTCCGAGATTCCAGACGCTTTTCATTGTCGGCAGGAATTCTTAATAGAATTTTTTACAAAGGTTGTGTGCAACGAGAAAACCTGGCTGAAATGATGGTCGTTTCGAAGGCGGTCCCCCGGCCCAGCGTTTCGTAACTTGACGAAGTCGTTGAATTCGCCCTGGTTTTTCTGACGGCCCGGTAATGCTAAAAAATGTTATTAAGGGTTCTCGGACACGAAAAACTGCTTTAAATCTCGTAAGAAAGAATCGTCGGCGTCTGGTCAAGAACTTAGCTATCTTTCAAGTCGAAAAACTGTCTAAAAAGTCTAAAAAGGTCTACAAAGTTCAAAATTATAAAGTATCTAAAAGATAAGTCTAAAAGTATAAAGTAAAACCGGCTAAAAAAGTTCAAATTTCGACATTTTGGTCGAAAATCGGATTTTGGGCTAAAAATCTACATTTTTTTGTATTTTGAATCAAAATTTGTCCTTTTTACGTTTAGGCAGTGCCGAAAACGATTTAGAAACATTTTCTATTTCTATTAGAAAATTTGCTTTCATATAAAACGTTGATTTTCCCCCCTAGTGCCCCCCCCCCCCCGATAATGCGAAAGTACCAAAAATTGATTGGTCAAAGCCCTTCAAATTTTTAAAATATATGAATTCGACGCCCACCTCGACCTCTTGCATTGGCGGGACGTCACCTTCAAACCGGAAGCCGCCTAGAGAGTTTGGTAAATGATTTTTCGGCAAAAACGGCTAAGGATTTTACGGCGGCTGCGATACGCAACGCGCGGTCTCTTGGTGCGTTGCGTATCATGCTTCGAAAAATAAATAGCAAAAAAAATCGTTTGCGACGTTAGCCCGTTTAAATTTTACCTTGGATGTTTTGGAAATGTGAACTGGCGTAGGTATCTCGATCTTCAGAATAGCGACGTAGACTTTCTGAAATTTGTGGTTTTCACAGGGTTTGGGAAAACCAAAGCCTAACTTTAAGCCTAAGCCAAAGCCAAGGTAAACGTAAGCTCAAGCTAAGCCTGAGCCTAAGTCTATGCCAAGCCTAAGCCAAGCCTAAGCCAAGCCTAAGCCAAGCCCAAGCCAAGCCTAAGCCAATCCTAAGCTAAGCCCAAGCCAAGCCTAAGCCAAGCCTAAGCCAATCCTAAGCTAAGCCCAAGCCAAGCCCAAGCCAAGCCCGAGCCAAACCAACCACTATTCTCAAATCTCCCTAATCGTTGATAGTCGAAGAATCCGGGCGGATAGTGGCGGATGGGCAGAGCGGATGGAGGTGGTGTTGTATAAACTTTTAAAGCGTACTGATTCCTCAAATTTCTTTCTTACCATATCTTCCAGCCGGCATTATTTCATCGCGATTTTCGCCGAACCTTATCGGGACGTAGTACCGGAAGCCGGTAGGTATCTAAAGACGGGTGGAGCCTAGTTTACAAAATCTAAAAATTTCGAAAAATTTCGCAAACCACAGCAGAAAAAACGATAAAAACCCTAAAACGTGGATAAATTTTGATAGCGTAAGTAGATAAACCTACTCGTTGGGTGGTAAAATAGTCGTGATAGCTGTCGGGGATCTGCGGTGATGGCTGGAAAAAACTTCATTGAATTTTTAAAGGGCGGCCCAAGGCAGGAATATATGAATTTTTGTATGTGGATTTTCTATGGATTTCCGCAGCCGCAACGCGTCCAACCGTTACAGGGCGTAAAAATTCATAGGAATGTTATATAAATACAAAAATTGGCATCTTATGGCACTATAAAAATTGTATCAATCACCGTAGTCTTCGGCATCTCAAACGCTTCATCCAGGGTGGTAGGCGTTGGGAAGGTGGTCGTGATTTGAGCCAAAAGCTGTTCAACCGCGGCTTTTTTCTCGGCCTCTTCGCGTTGCATTTGGTGGTATCCTAAAGGATGCGCTTTTTCAAGTCTTAAACCAAAATTTTTAAACGAAATTGTGTTTTTTGAGAATTTAAAGGGACAGACAAGGCTATGGATTCTGCCGAAACCTCGACACGCAACGCGTCCGTCCCGCTTTTTTCATAATCGCAATCCGTGACGCAACGGCAAGGTGTACGCGCGCGTTGCGTGCAGTGTGGTTGCTATTTCGCTGGCTGTGCGGTCCCTACAAATTGTGCCGCGGCACGCAACGCGCCCGCCCCGCTTTTCCATCGAAAATTGACCAAATCCGTGAAGAAATGGAAAGACGTGCGTTGCGTGTCGCGAATCTAATTTCAAGGAAATCCACAACCAACAAAATCCATCACTTACCTCGCCTGTTCATTTAAAATTTTAAAATTTCAAGCGATAAATTCCGAAGCGATACTTTGCACGAGGTGTCCGGTGAGTATTTTCGAGGCCGGCTTCGTCGTCGAAATGACTTCAGCGTCGCGGACGGCGGCCAATTTTCGGGTGAACGACCCCTCAGTGTCTGTCCATCCCACTTCTTCCGGTTTATCTTCCGGATGCGGACTCACCGGGAATTCGGGTTGTTTTTCTAAAATTAGTTGATACTGGTTTTCACATTTTGATAAATCTTAAAAATCCGTTTGTCAACGAATTTACCCGGTTTTCGATACGTCGTTTTCAGCGGGATGTTGAGTGGAATTGGGTGGCAAGTCGGCGGCTGGAAAAGTTCTTTTAAAAGGGACCGGCAAGGCTTGGTCATGGAATTTGCTGTTATCGATTCCATGATTTTAGTTTTCCGAAAAATCCAAAACCACGGCTTTCCAGTTCCTTTAAAACCCACCACAATGCCCTCGCAGCCGTTGTCCCGCTTTTCGCAGAGGGTTAGCTGGCAGCTGAAGTGGACCTAAGATGGTTATTACGAAAAAATCTTCGAATTTGTTAGCTGAAAAGCTTGGGTCTGAGTAGACTCCGCTTAAATCGGGCTTAGCTTGGGTTTACCTTAGGCTTAGGCTCGACTTAGCTTAGTCTTAGCTTAACCTTAGCTTAGGCTCGGCTTAGGCTTCGCTTGGGCTTAGCTTACCAGTAGCTGATCAGCGAATCGAAAAGCATTAATGGTAGTGTGGACCGTGTGCAGGTCAACCGAGTATTCCAAGGCCGGCACAATCGAACCATCTATCGGACATCTAGAGATTAACAGATTACTACAAAGTTTACTGCAAAGTACAAAGCCTCACAAACTACAAGCTACAAATTAGTACTACAAACCCTCGATCGTCGACCAGTTCATAGTCTTTTCCCTGTTCATCTTTGACACTGCAGGAATGGACGAGGAAGCCGACGTCTTCTAGAAGGACATTACTGAGAGAGAGAGAGAGAGAGAGAGAGAGATCCGAGCAGACACCAACCATTATTACAAGTCCACCTATGCACAATCGGCTGTCCGATCGAAGCGAGCCGTACTCTCGCCCCATCCACCCCATCTCCCAAAACGTCATAGCGACAATGCGAGGCGCCGGCTGTCCCGCCAAGATTTGTCGGTTGCATTTCTCTAAAAAACGGAATACTACGTACTTTTATTCCTATTTTCACGGTTTACCCTTGGCGGCACCATCCCTTTAAAGGTATCGGGAAGAACTGAGTTTTTTTCGGAACAGTTGCCGATTGCCTATCCTATCCCTCACACGAGCTCGCATTCCCCTTGCGTAATCGATTACGCTCGGTAATTCAGGATCCGTCACGAAGGTCGCGCTCACACGCGCCTCGCGTATCGCGGTTCTTGACTTGGCTGACTGTGTTGGCTTTGGAATTCCGCGACCGCGACACGCAACGCGCTTTCCATACAGACGCCGCCGCACGCAACACGTATGCCGTTTGCTGCGAAATCGTTCATAAGCTGACGGTTACGCTATGGCAGAGCGAGCGCTGCGTGCTCCGTGCGTCGCGTGCCGCGGGCGGGTGACATCGCTGGCCTAATGGCCGCTTGCGACCCGCCAGCGAAGACCGCTTGACCCTGTTCAGCGCAATCGATTACGCAATGAAAAAAACGGACGTCTGCGTTGAGTGTCCTTCTCACAAATAACTAACTTGACGTTGACCTGCTGCCGTAAAGTCACTGGTTTCTCCTCGTAGAGGCAGTTGAGACGATAGGCACGGTCTCCTGGAAGGGAGAAGGTTATCGAAGGAGGTATCTTCTGCGCATTAATGAGAGTTTCCGAAAGGCTACCTGCCGTGACAAAGAAGTGATGGTGTTGGACGATGACAGTGACCTGGTAGTTGAGGCCGGGGGGATTCGCCTGAAAGTATAGGTTTTTCGAAGGTTGACTGTGAGGCAGATGGTAAGAGAGAGATCGAAATAAATCGAGGAGAGAGACAGAGAGATACAGGGAGAGAGAGACAGAGAGAGCAAGAGAGATAGATAGAGAAAGCGAGAGAGAGAGAGAGAGAGAGCGGGTGAGAGAATGCGAAGGAAAAGGAGAAACGGAGAGATCGAGTGGGAGAGTGAAGAACGAGAGGACCAGCAAAAGCATGATAGAAAGAAATAGATAACGAGAGAGTGAGAGAGACAGTCACAGTGAGAGAGTGATAGAGAGCAAGAGATAAATGGAGAGAGAGCGAGTGAGAGAGACAAAGTGAGTGAGAGAGATAGCGAGAGTGATAGAGGGAGAGATAGAGTGAGAGACAAAGACAGAGCGAAAGACAAAGAGAGAGAGAGAGAGAGAGAGAGTGAAACCAAAAAAAAATTTCTATAAAACCTACCGTTTTCTGCGTCGATACCATACAATGCCCCTTATAAGGTATGTGAATATAAAACGGTGAAGTTACTGGCGCTCGGCAATAGTCGAGATGACAACTGAATTTTTTGCGAAATTATGGCCTTAAAAAACCTTTCCGGCGGCGCATTAAAGTATCCCTTGACGTAGACATGACCGGAAAATGGGCCAATCGGGCTGAGGTGAAGGCGCATCCCGTCGGGGAGGCATTCCTGACAAAAAAAAATTTGAAAAACAAGGCGGCAGGGCATCGCGATGGACTCGCTAGAAATCAATCTGCTTGAAATTCGGACTTACCAGCGTGGGTTGTACGCGAAGCAACGGGTTCGGGTCCTCGCGTACATTGGCGTGTTGCGTAGCGGCGGACGGCCAGAGGAGGGCCAGCACTACGGTGATGATCAACATTCAGCACCCTCGTGTTCACATCAGAATCTGCGGAAGTTGGGCAGTGATCTAGGGGACAGTTTTTTTTGGAAATCGCAAGCTAGCGGAGATCATTTGGGAATAGGGAATGGCCGAAAACTGGGGGATAGCCCATAGCTCTCATTAATGCATAGAAACAGGTAGCTGTGAGCCTTGGAAAACTGACAGAGATCCTTTTGGATTCAAGACCGGACGCGTTTGACTCATACCTCGCATTAATGCAGTGAGAAAGCTAGATGTTAGCCAGGGCAAGCTAGCGGAGGACTTTTGGGGATTTGCCGGGTGGAATAAAATAGCTTAAAGGGTTAGAAACCCCTAATCCTACCTAAAAAACTACCGTAACCCCCGCCCCCGTTTTTTTTAAACGGATTATGAGGGCAAAACGTGGATAGGCGGAGTGAGGGGGGCCTTTCGACGCGATCGCCATGCCATAGCCAGCCTCAAGCGCTGGGGGGAAGGCTGGGCGGAACCGGTAAGATTTCCGCTCATCCGGCATCGGCATCTCCCCCCGATTGTACGGAAGGGGGGAGGAAGGGTCATCCCCCAGACAATACAGAGAGAGAGAGAGAGAGAGAGAGAGAGAGAGAGAAATGCATAGACTGGTTCAAAGCCCTAAAAAGGAGGGTGGCTCCCGTATTCTGGCTGCCGAGGCGGGGATCAGGCTCGAGGAGTCCCACGAAATGCCCCCAGGGCACATCTCAAGTCTTTGAAAATGGCAAATGACGCGGATAACGTGGGAGCTGATCTTTTTGAGGCATTTCAGCCAAAATCCCGACAGGAAAAATCCCGACAGATCAAAATCCCGCCAGCGATAATCCCGACAGCCAAAATCTCGACAAATAGGATCTGGATAGCAAAAGTACCGACAGGAAAAATGCCGACAGCCAAAATAACTGCATAAACCTAATCTGCAGCCGTAACCCCAAAAGTTTGAACCCCGAAAGCCAAAATCCCGACAAATAAGATTTGGATGGCAAAAATACCGACAAACCAAAATCCCGACAGCCATAATACCGACAGCCATGATCCCGACTGGCCAAAATACCGTCAACCAGAATCCCGACTGTCAAAACCCCGACAGGAAAAATCTCGACAAACAAAATTGTTGATCTCTCTGCAGAGCAAAAATATGCAGAGCAAAAACACCGACATGCCGAAACGCCGACAGGACAAAATCCCCACAGATCAAAATCCCGACAGCCACAATCCCGATGGGCCAAAATGCCCAGATTCTCGACGCTAGTTTGCTAACACTTTTTTCGACAGCTATTTTGTCCGTCGGCATTACGATTGTCGGGATTTTGGCTGGAATTCGGCGAAAGTCATAGTGACTTGTTGGAGAAGTCGCACTTGAAACTTAAGCTCAAGCCGAAGCCTGAGCCGAGCCTATGTCGAAACTACCACATGCACAACTTCAAAAACTTCAAGCCTCAAAAAACTGCGATTTCAGAGACGCTAGGAGTATCAAGATGTACGCGCCAGTACTCCTGTCGAGAGCGTATCGAAATGGAATTTGAAGGTCGATGACAAGGAGGGGGGGAATGGCCTTTCGAGGAGGAGGCTAGGGGTTCTCCAGCCTGTTCACCCCCCTTTCTATTCTCCCTAAATATGTAAATGGCACCACCTTTTATGGGTACAATAGAAGAGAGACAGAGAGAGAGAGAGAGAGAGAGAGAGAGAGAGAGAGAGGGCAGGATCTCTTCCTTTCTATTGAACCATCTGTTTGACCAAAAACTCTTCGGCAAAAAGGTGACAGAAGGCTTCCGCAGGCCAATGGATAATACTGTATTTTTCAAGTTTCAATTTAATTCTAATGTTTTATTGCAAAAGTCTGTGTACTCCAAGTCTCTCTCGCCCCCTCTCTCTCTCTCCAGCGCTCTCTCACTGGCTCGCTCACCGGCTCTCTGGCCCGCTCTCTCGCTCTCTCTCTCTCTCTCTCTCTGGCCCGCTCTCTCTCTCACTCTCTCTCTCTCTCGCTCTCTCTGGCCCGCTCTCTCGCTCTCTCTCTCTCTCTCTCTGGCCCGCTCTCTCTCTCACTCTCTCTCTCGCTCTCTCTGGCCCGCTCTCTCGCTCTCTCTCGTTCTCTCTCTCACTCTCTCTCGCTCTCTCTCTCTCTCTCTCTCTCTCTCTCTCTGTCTCGTTCTCTCTCTCCCCCCTCTCTCTCCATTCGCTTTCTTATGCCAAACCCCGTAAACTTCACAGGGTCGCGAGATAGGTCTACTGATTTATATTGTGTTAGCTTTATTAGAATATGGATTAAACTCATTAACAGGGCCAATGGTTGACGATGCTAAGGCTGGAGCCTGTCGATAATCTTCACCACTGATTGCGTATACTCCTCCTGCTCAGCATTTGATAAATTAATTCATTAAAATGAGTAATTAGCATATACAAAATTGGCATTAAGCACATCCGGTTTAGGGATTTCCCCGGGAGCAAATGAAAAGCTATTTCATTCGTCAACGTCTCGCCCCTTCGAGAAGGCCCTCACCTTCACGTCGGCTTCGTCGACTTCGGATAGATCGTCGCCCTCGTCGCCATCGTCGCCATCTGCATCTACAAGTGGGGAACTTTTGCGATTATCAGGGCATCACTCGAAGGGTACGGGTTTATGACCCCCCCCCCTCCCCCCCCGGCCGACCCCCAGGTACCGTATCTCGGTTCCCTGTTCATCTACAGCTGTGTAAAGTATACCCTAATGTTTGTCTTGCTCTGGCGAGTATTTTAGTATACTTTACACACCCGTAGGGGAACAGAGAGCCGAGATACGGTACCTGGGGGTCGGGTGGGGGGCTGGGGTAAACTGCACTCTAACCAAATTCGATATTATGAAAATTCGGAAAAATTATGATTTTGCAGGGGCATCCTTTCACGATGCCGCGCAGAGCGCCGCCGCCGGCCCCTACGTATGGGAGGATGCTGACTAGGTCGCAATCTCGAGCCATGGCGAGCCGTCAAGCCAGCCCCCCCACATCCATCAATACGGCAAAGAAGGCATCTCGCTCACCATCACCGGCCACGGCGCGCGTGCGTACACCCAATTTGCAATTGATGAACGACCACGTAGGGTTTTGCTGTTCTAGCCTGTTAGCGGGGGGGGGGCTGGGAGGTGGACGGCTGTGATTGCAGACTGCACAAATATACGTGTCTAAGTACGTGGAATTCGAAAACTACTAAAAACGCTAGAAATTTTCTCCAATAGTTGTAGAGGTTCTTTCGCATTATCGGGGGGTGGAGCAAATTTTTTTCCCAGGAACCAATTTGTTAAATATAAATAGTGGAAGTGTTTCGGAACTTGTTTTTACTAATCGGAAACGTAAAAACTTACAATTTTTTATCCTATCCTTATCTATCCTATCTCTCCGCCCTCTATATGGTGTTATTTTACTAAAAACATCATGAAAATACTTTCTATTAAGTTACTAAACATTTCTAGATTGTCACAAAAAAATTTTTGCTCCCCCCGATAATGCGAAAGAAGCGTTGTAGTCAATTGCTAAACGCCGAGCCACCCCCCGCTAACAACCTAGTACCGGCTTTCGTGAGTTGGGGAAGAGAACATGGTGGAGTTCAGATGCTCGATGAGATGCGGGAGCAGGACGATCCTCCCGAGGCCGACCCTCCGCCGGTCCTCGAATCGGCGCCAAGGATCGAGAGTGGGTTTTACGCGGCGTAACTTAAAGTCTTAGCTGAATCACTATTTGCTTCTCATCTTTAATTTCCGTTTCAGAAGAATACAAAGTCGCGTGGCCGGTGAAGCTCAACCTGGGTGAAGGGTTCGGTGGCCTGATCACCGCGGATCCGCCTCCCGACTCTTGGATTCAGGTCGGAACTGGGGTTCTTTTGCATTAGCAGGGGGAGGGCGGTAGGCGGTATGGGTGGGTACAACTTTCTCATTAGTATTCAAATTTTTGTAGCATAAATTGCGAAACTCCCTCTAAAGTCTATCTACTACGTTTTGCTATATTTTTACTATTTCTTGTAAATGTAACACATTTACAAAATTTTATTAGGAAGTCAAAAATCGCGATTTTTCGACCAAAAATCACCAAGAATTCCCGCTAAAAGCTGTTACATGTTTTTTTTGATTGTTAGTGTAATTAAGAAACGGCTTCATTTTGCTAAATTCTTCAATTCTATGTCGCCAACCATGTGTACATATCAATGTTTACAGAAGGGAGACACGCTGCGCTCAATCGAATCCGGAGCCAAGAATGGCCGAAATTGCCCACCATATTTATACGTCTTTGTGACCAGCCGAGTAGGTTTGATCCCCGTTTCTTTAGCCTTTTGGTCAAACTTGAGTCAAATGCATACTGAAATCTGTGTTTGCAGAACATCGGCCCAATCGAGGAACGGAAGATGAACACCTGGAACCTGGACGTGCTGATGTACGCCGTCAAGGGAGTCTGCCTCGGCTGTCCCTCCACCGAAATCCATCGGACCAGCGGGATGATCAGGATGTGCAGGCGTTGTTATGACGCCCTCAAGTAAGGATATTCCACTTTACTCAAAAAATTGTTTTCTAGAGACTGGACCGGACAGCGTCATCTGTGCTCCGACGACACGGCCACACCCATGCGACACGCCGACAAGAAGAAGCAGATCTTGGCCGGTAGACTGCTAAATCGGTTCTTTCCCAATATCGGGGGGAGGAAGGGAAGCCAACACCTTTAAGGATCTAATTTTTCCAATTTTCCCGTTAACTTGTTGTTTTTGCACTTCCAATACAGTTAAAAATTGCTAAAAAGTTGGTTCTCCCTTCTCACCCCCCCGATAATGCAGAAGAACCGCAAATACATTATCCTTTCCCTAGAATTTCAAGGCGCTCGCTGCCTGCAATGCCTGGGAACGAGGGCCGCAGCCCTCGGATGGGACCCGGTAAGCGTTTTGACCTTAGCGACTTTTCTAGCTCGAACCAGTCAAACCCAAAATCAACATTAATGCTTACTTTTAGAAAAACCCGATGGTCCGCAAGCTCC